AGATTGTATAACACAGACGTGTTCAAATTGTGGAGCTCGTTACCACAAAATGATGTACATCGCCATTGACCGAACAAAGCACGCTTCACGACTTTTGCTGAAACGCGGGCAGCGCATGTTTTCTGGACATTCGGCTATTTACGTCTACAGTTCGGCTATATCCGTCGTCGGCGGCCGATGACTTCGCCGGCATGCGCCCGCGCCGGACCTTGACGTAAACTTGACGAATGCAGCTGCAACAATGCAGTATAAACTTTATTGCTAAGCGCTAATGGTGTTTTAGACGCAATACATCTAAACAAAAATTTTGTGCTTCCGCGTGGAAGTGTCTAGAAAGTGACCGATTTCTACTTAATGTCCATCACTGAGCACTAACCACATGGGTCAGGGGGACACCTCCACGGATTAGGGTTAAGTATCATTGAATTTAGTATCATCACTGCGGAAGAGTAATCTTTGTCTAGACTTTCGTCAACCCTCAATACGCATGCACGTGTACGTTACTCTTGCCGCGATTTCTTTTTATTAAAATAACTGTGACAATAGATCGAACTAAAAGTTGCAAAGCCCGATTTGTGCGTGACAAGTGTTATTTATTTCATTTGTTATGTGAAGGTGTCAATTTATTTTTAAGTGGTATTTCAAAATACATATATTTCATTATCCGTTTTTCTATTGAATAGTAATGATTTTTGTTTGGTTTCCCTTTCGCCGTTTAATTCGCGGTGTTATAAATCAGGAATGAGATAAATACCTGACTTTCTATCATTAGAAAACATAGAAATGCAATAATCTTGATGCCATACATCTGTTTATCCTTATGTAAGCCAGCAATTAACTTGTCTTGCGATAATTATTATTAATACTTGTTTACTTAAGGCATTATGTATTGCTACAAAGCAATACACGACCTCCTTCCGTCCGTCAGTTACTTAGATAACACACGTCTTTTCGAGGAACAATAAAACAGAATCGAAATTACGATTACGAAATATTACGATTGTTCCGAGCACAATCAAAGTGGCGTGGTTTGTCAGGACTTGCCAACGGTGACGAGCCATTCGCAATGAATGAACGAATACTAATGATACCAATTACCAATTCGTTCTATGATACGCATACTGTTTTAAACAACGAAAAGTAGTATCTAAAGTAAAATGTTACGCTTCGACGACAACAATTTCGTAAGTAATGGGCACGTACGTTACTTTCGTTGTGCCGTTAAATAAGTAACTATATATTTCTTTAAAATATTCATTTGCAAAACGTTTTCCATGATTGACAAAGCATCCTTATTCTTTTAATAAGACATACAATGGCGTAGATGTGTGATGCGATAGTGTCACTATCTAGTCAAGATCTTAAGACAGTCGGAATATTATGCGAACACAGTGATCTCAGTCATTTCAAAGTGCGCTTTTGCAATCTAGCACTATAATGAATGGTTTTGAACACCGTGGAGTGCATACAGTCAATAGCGTATAATTTATGGAATTTGTAGTCCTTTTCGTGTGAAGCAACCAGTGTTGTAGTTTATGTACACATTCTCGTTGTAAGTTGATTGCTGTTGTGGGAGTTGTCTAGGTATGGAATCAGGTATTACTAGTGAATTACAACGATATTACAAAGTTTTCTTGCATATATGTACGTATATAGGTAATATAGGGAGTAAATTAGGCTTATTTACCCGTAGTACTCCAACTTTTTCTTGTATGTATGAATTGTTAAACAGTGACGAAACAAAGATACGGAGCAAAAAAAAACTGCGGTGTACAGTCGTGACTGTGTTAAGTACTACCAGAGCACTGGCTTCCAATCGAACTTGCGCAACTGTATTCATCTCACCAACGGCGAGAAAAAAAATCCTTTCAATACTTTTGGACTCATTTGACGAAGTACACGATTGTTGGTTGTCGTTGATTTGTTGGTTATGTACTATGTTGACCGTAATGAGCAGATATTTATTTTAGCAACGAAGGTAATTTTGAATTAAAACCAAAAACGATTCAGTTCATGTTATCTCTAGTCTATTTAGTTTGAGGTCATTTAGTGGGAATTGCGCGGTTTTGTGTGAGGTCTAATATTTTAAACACCAGTGTTTTGACATTAAATTAATACTCTAAAATATTTAATTTACTTTGTTGACTATCACTTGCCGAAGGGTTCTAGAAGGGTTCTGCATTGCTCGCATGTCGACATATCACGAAATCAATCTGATGCTAAATGCCACAGCGCGACATCATTGGCTGCGATATTGACCTATTGATATTTAATGCATGTTAATGTGCATTACTAAACATTCTCGATGACGAGTTGCGACTTGATCAGATCATCGAATTGCGGTGCCTACTCGAATTGATTAGGCAAGGTATTTTTGAATACGCTCCATTATCTAAATCAAAGGCAAGTTAAAGATTAAGGAATGACTTGAAAATAATGCAGGATAAAATTATGTAAACTCCATAATATAGTGTATAAAAACATACGAAAACTCATTGGTAATTAACACTTTTGAATACGAGATCAGTACTCAGTAGTAAAGTGTATCTCCCTATTTGAATTCGATGAAATCAAAATGGAATTCTCCTTTTAAATCAGCGTAGCGTCCGAGTCCAAACTTTCCATTCCTTTAACAAGACGACCATTTTCCAAGCGTAATGGAAATCAAAATGACGGCGAACGATCTCGATAAATTGTAATTTGGTCGGCAATCGTTGCGTCCATCTATGGTAATTTCTATGTATGTAGAATTAGATGCATGGTTGTTACGATGGAGATAGTTATCTTTGTTACGGAATCCATCTGCTCTCATTGTAGAAGCAATTTCTCTCACACGATGCTCCATTGCGATCGTTACAGCTTTGTTAACATACTTTATGAAAATAGTTTTCGACTTTCGTCTATAGGGCTCACCGTTTCTCAATACGTATTTAAAATTTATCAAAGCTTGGGCTTTATAGTTTTGATTCTGTAATTTCATTTATCGTAGTTTCCAGCAGTTTATTGTTCGTTGGTCACTATAACGCTGAATAATCTCACAACATGCAAGAGTCCGCCACATATTATGTAAATAGAAATTCCACCTATCTTAAATAGATCAAATACTCCAGCTGTATTCACACCCGTCATCGTGGTATTGTTTATGTTGATGAAGTCGAGATTGAATCAGCTGTGATGCAGGTGCGAATGGATTCATTATGCGTTCGGTATGCATATCGGTGCATCTACTATCGGCCGCCAGAATTCAAGTACTTTCATTACAATTTTAGATTGAATTTAATTAAATATACATAGCAGGAGCGCAGACGCTTTGATGGTACTTATTTTGATGAAACTTTTTTTTATTCACAATTGTACGACACGAAGAAAGCGTCAGTGGGACTGTCAATTTTGCCCTAACTACTATATTTATCGATAACAGCCGTAATCACAATCCGCTCACGTGCGCAGATAGCGAAACACGTCCCGTCCTTTCGTTTCTTATTTTTTACATATTTTTTAGATTTCCTAAACTAAATAACTTTGAATGCGTTGTCAAAACCTATTGTTGAGTTTGATTGGTTAGCGCTATTGCTTTTTCGTATATAAGTATGTACCAACATCATTTATTGTATAGTCAAATAATGTTTTTTGTCCGTGGATTCCTAGCACCAGATCGTTTCAGGTATTTGTATGCTGCAATAGTAGCATTCTTAGCATTAAAAGTCACAAACTCTCTTCAATTTTTTCTTTTCTATTGCTTGCCTTATTTTATTAAGTTGTTTCCCGTATAATAAGAACGACAATAACAGCATACTATATTGCAATAACAAAGATTTTCCTCTTGTATTACAGTAGATGTAAATAGCTACATACTTGGTGTTTTCCATATGTTCTTAAATAAATATCTCAATATACAAAACTTCTTTGTACTCGTACATATCGTTCTTTACAACACCAGCACGTCTATTAGGTACCTCACAATTTAGTCGAAAAAATGCGTCACTATAGAACATTATATTCTGAATCTAACTATTTATCTCACGTCGTATGCTCCCTACCTTTTGTTAAAACACAAAATTCTGTTCTGTTTAGAATACATGTGCCAAATTTCGTGTTCTTATACCCAAAGACGTTACACCATAACTCAACGCTGCAAACATGCGAAGACCGAAGCTAGACTTAATACGAGTATAACCAAAACTAGAACACCCATTATTTGTATGAACAACTATAGTGGTTATTTAAACTTCAAATTCACGCTACAGGGAGAGAGAGATCTACCCGACCATGTGTACGTGTGGTACAGGGTCAAGAGCATGTCAAGCGTGACACTAAAGATTTAATTCCAACTCTATGCGGCTTACGATACGAAGGTCCAAAGTACAAAGTGTCAAGCTTGACGTGCTTTTGACTGTACCACATTATAGAATTTCAGCACTTAAGGGTGCTTTCAAATACTCAACTTCAAAATGCTGGAATAATATTCCACCATCTATGACGCGACTTTAAATACAAATAAAAAACATTGTACCGTCAACTCCCGCTACAAAAAGTGGCTAATTGATAATAACTTATTTCATACTCACACGTACTCTTTCTTCTGCCTTACTAAAATTTTTATTATTCTAGTAAGTAGATTATTTTAGATGTTCGTTATATACCCCGTATTATTTCATTGAATAAGTTAACTATTTGTAGTTTCTTATATTTTTGCTTATGAATACTCATATGCTCGACAATTTCCCTCTAATGAGAGGTATTTGCTTTCTAGGGATCATCGGGTCCTGATTGAAAACCAACGCTTTAGGAAACTTTAGCTGAATCAATGTTCTTTCACTGATATGACAAAAATTATATATTCTTACTTTTGAATTTTTTGTTAGCTGTGAATGTGTTTGTTTATGTGTCTAACGTAAATAACGTTTTTGTGTCAAAATTGTCAGCTCATTCGTGTTAAAGCGGACAATGTGTACTATGAGTGTTGTAAGCGATAAAACATGTATATTTTTTGTGTGCAGGTATTACAACGTGACGTGGAAAGCCACGGCCGGATCGTGAGCTCGGTGGTGCGACTGTGCGGCGGCGGAGACGCTGCGCGTGCGCTTGAACGCCGCTGGCACTTGCTCTATCTGCGGGCCATTGAGTGGCAGTGTCATCTCGAGGCCTGCCTCGCCAGGATCGATAACCAGGTAACATGCCTACATACTTTAGTTGCTACTTCTTTTTTTTTTGTAGAACAATGCTTTGAAACGGTACATTTAATCATAGTTTGTATTCGAAGTCAATCAGAAAGTACTTAACTAGTATATCACATTTTTGTAATAAAAATTCATTTACTAATATACCTACACTATACGTATAATATACCTACTGCTTGGTGATTATGTATCGACCCACAGATCTTTATTCGTCTCTCGCTGACAATAGCATAATCAACTACCCGCCGCCTACAGTTTGCAAACATGGCCCAAGTACCGTTAAATATTATTTCATCCTCCCCTAGTTCATAGGCACAATGCGTCACTGTATTAAGCAAACCCTTTTATCGTCCATTTTAGGTTCACACGTTACCCTTGCTCTTTTTAAGGTTACTATTATACTGCCATATCCAGCCGTCTATGTGACAAAGTAATAACAATAACAACATAGTACTCTATAACTATTGGTTCTTTTAAATATCAAGGTAGAATAGATAGATTGGAAAATTTAATTTCAAAAATAAACGTTTCTGTCATCTCCTTTACATTTCTGAACCAGTAGTTTTGTAAATAATTTTCGTATACAAATATTTAAGTGTAGTAAATACGATACCCTATATTATCCTAGGGCCGACACGCACTTGGTCGGTTTTTTGTCGCACACTTAACGTTACTAGAAATTATATATTTCTTAATTGTTATAAATGTTAAGTGAGCATCCAAAGGGTTGGTCACGTGTCTCGTAACCAAAATAAAATGTGTTATAGAACTCATGCGGGAATTGTGTTATGATTTGTGGTTGCCGGGAAACTACTAACCCACATTCAGTCGTGTTTGCTCTAGGATAACATGTCCGAATAAATTCTATTGGAGTGTAATACTTGCGGGGCCTATAAATTTCTTTGGTACGTATTTGAAAATGACTTTTAGTGGTCGTAAATTAATTTATGATCAACCATTGTGAGGTTTTGTAAACGTGACAGTAATGTTTAATTTATGGGTGACATTGAGGCCGTGACTATTATTTAATAAGAGCGCCGTATCTTTTGTTAATGATATAATTTATTGGTAATTCTAGGGTGGAGCTTCGGTGGAGGTCGTGAGCGACAGCGACGACGAGCCGGCGTTGAAGCAGCCGCGGCTTAGCAGGCGAGAGTCGCCGAGGAGACTACGCAACTCCGCCAACACGCGTCGCCGGGATACCTCCGTTGACAGTCGACAGTCTGCCTCCGAGGTGAGGATGTCCTCTGATACCCTTTAGTAGTAGTTTAGTAATTCAATATAATAACAAATAAATTTCCGAACCAGATTATAATAGTTTTATGTAACATCCATGTGTACAGTTTTTACCTACTCGAATTTTGGTCTCAGACCATCCGAGGTTCAGTACACCTCCAAAGAAAATTTTAATTAAAACTATACAAACTGCAGTTTGAGGTTCCAACAAGAAACATTTAGCCCAAACTCACCATTGAGCATGTGGGTTTGACTACGTTGTACAAGTTCTAAATAGCTTGAATCCAAAATCACTAATTTACACATGGCCAATGGCTAGTGATCGGATTCGCTGTTGTCTTCACGAAAAAACAATATACATTATGGTATGCCGTGCATACAGGTATGCCTTTCTTAATAAAAATGTATGTAATTAAGAAGACCAGGTTCTCGAATTATAAATATTGAGTAATTACTGTTATTTACTAAATAACTATAAATGAACTACAAAATAACATTTTAATAATTGTTTAGTAAGGAATACAGAAAAAAATCAAAAACATGCAAGTACCTGACGCGCCAACGCGCGTGACGCGATTTGGAAATAATGGTGATGATCAGGAGACTGAAGTAGCGGGAATTATAACTCGTATAATACTTTTACCAATGATTACTTAATCTTTTACGTATTACTTAACTCTTAATTCTAATTACTATTATTAATTAATATAAATGGAACTTAATAAAAAAATCATTGAACAAAATAATTTTTAAAACGTAATGTAGCGTAAATTGGAATGTTTTCTTTTGTAAAATTAAAAATAAGGTATTTAATTAATAACTTTTGTAACTATAGTGGAAAAATATGGTGGTTTGCATTAATATTAGACATAACTGGTTGATGACTGTACCACCTCAGTCAACCGTGACCATGTGACTTGTAAAGTGCCCGAAACGTCGGTTTGTTTGAAAAAACAAATATACGCGATTTAAATCCGCAAAAATAGTTTAATTTCCTATGTTTGTATACATTACATATTCAATGAAAAAAAAAAACATTATTGCGAGAACTTCTATGAAACTGTGTGCAAAAATATTATTTTGCTATAAGAAAATTAAAGTCATAGAAATACATACATTTATTCAGAAAAGCATGTCCATATTATTGCTTCGTGGGCGGTAAAAACCAGGAAGTTTAGATAAATAAGCGCCCGAACATACAATATGTGGCTAATTAGAGAACTTGTACTTATTTGACCCGACATTACACTAATTTATAGGAGGAGCAAGAATATGTGCTAACATACACGTGGCGAGGCTTCGGATCTGACTGCGAATCGGAACTAGTACGAGTACCACGCGAGTGCAACATGGCCGATGAACATCGTGTTCCAGGAGCTTGCGACGCCCTCTCCGCTCCCCCCACTGACCAGACCGTACCTACCACCGTAGACCAGCTTGATGGTGAGTTCCACAACTGTTAAGAACTATGAATACTTTGGAATTTAACTAAGCATTTTCTATATAATGTATATATGTATACTTTTATTCATCATCCGCGATATTTGATTCCATATTGCATTTCCCACGTCATATTACATTTGAACATTGTAACATTAAAATTGTAACATTGTAGTATTTGTGCGATCCAACAGTTATGGAGTCATTATATCAAACAACTTGTAATAAGAGGTTCGTCTCGACACACATTGTATATTAGAAAATGCTCATATTTTTCTTTAAAGCCTGGTTCAAACTATCCTAGTAATTGAGTCGAGCTGCGAGTAATTTAGTGACTAAATGTCTACCAGCTGAAAAAAAGCCTTCACACTAGAGTAGTCGTAGGTATTAGACAGTAGAGTGTTAAAAGATGATCAACAAAGAAAATAAGCTAATAAAGCTTATTACAATGGGTTTTTTAGAAGAATTTGAAGAAGATAAAAGTGATAAAAGATAAAAGAAGTGTGATAAAAGGAAAAATAACTATAGCTACGAGAATGAATTTAAGTAATTATTTAGAATTGTGGCTTCTAGTTCATCTCTTCCTCTGAAGATATGAATGCAAAGTATAATTGTAATTCACTCCTGTTGTAAATATTTCGCAATAATTTAATAGTTATATCTTCGCTCCAACCGAATTCGCTGCTAATGAACTCGACTAAATTGACAGGTTCGCACTTTTTTATTGGTTAAATAACGATGCAGTGAAACATAGTGGGAGGCGTTACTCGCCTGAAAATATAGCGCACAAGAAACTAAATACTGTCGTAACTCAAGAATGATGGAATTGAGAAAACACGATTTGAAAGTTCAAAAATTACTTAATGGAACCAATACATTTGTACTGTCGTTTAGAAGTGGATAATTAATTGGTATGTATAAATAAAACTACGTTATTCGTAATAAGATTCATGCAGTATTGTTTTAAATTTTGAAATCATCTGTTCTCAGTTCCATAATTTTCGAGTTACGACGGTATTTGGTTTCATGTGCGGTAGAATAAAATTGTTCGACTCGACTAAATCGCTTACTAAACTACTCGACAAAAAATTTGTTTTTCAGACACGTTTAGTTACTATGACCGAACCAGGCGTAAATTACCAAACAACATTTTTTAAAGCAAAAAGATCCTTGTTTCTTTAATTTCAAATTTCAAACGAGATTCCCGAGTCTCTTTTAGTTAACTTGTAAATTAAACAAATGCATGAGAAAGTATTGTGTAGTTCTCGTCCGCAAAAACATTCTATTTTTCAGTAGCGGTAGAAATATCACACAACGCTTTGTCGGCGTAATAAAATTCCTCGTTTATGTTTCGTGTTAATGACAAATAATTTTATTTTTCATGTGAAAAGTTGTAGCGTTGTGAATTGTGTACTTGCTTTTGCGAAATAGACTTAAAGTTTATGCTGTGCGATATAAGTATCTAAACGTAATCAAGTATACCTACGTTTCTCAGACAATATTTGTTTCTTATTGCAGCGTGTCTTAGGTACAGACGGTTTCATGTCTACAACACGGATGTCGTCTCATCGGTGACCTGATAAAACATAACTTAAGATTTTAAATCGAATTGAAATATTTTGAGTTTTGAAGTGAAGCTGTGATTGGGTATCCTTTGGGTTCCCTATTTTAAATCAATTAAATTCGGAACCAAATAAAGCTTTTAGCAAAATTTTTATCAAAGTTCTTTATGATTGTTTTGTTTAAACGTCTCAAATGAATACACAAAGAACATGACGACTTATCTATGAATTACTAAACACAAAATGGAGGACGCAACTGAGATGTTCCGTATGCGGCCTCAAACGATCCACATTTTACGGTAAGTTCTAATAAAATGTACACATATTATATTTGCTAATGTTCCAAAAAATTATACCAGAACAATAAAGCAAACTATTTCATGAAACACTGCTTTAATAATATTCTTTGTTCTTTTAGGGGCTGGTTCTGATTTTTATTTTTCTGGTGGAATTTTGACAAGTCTACGCTGATGCGACTGCCGAGTGACCAAGCCTTTGCGAAGATAATTTATTATGAAAACTAATGTATGCGAAAGAGTACATAACTGTTAATAAAAATTGCAACGCGAACTTGTGTTTTTATTTGTTATAACCCATGCCTTATTTTTGAGTGTAATGATTCTTTTCATATTTTACAGTTTTCGCTGCGCGGATTATTCACCTCTTAGAATAATAATTACGCAACGTAATCTGCAAAGTATTAAAATAATCTCACTCATCTCACACTCCATTTCGAATCACTCGGTATTACATTGCATTTATTTTATAAAGTTTTTTATTTTCTTACACAGTGCGCACTATAAGTTTCCAGAACTGGCCACTACCAATATTTAAAAAGTAATTAGAACATTTGAAAATGGAACTCTTTGGCTGTAGAATACAGTTTGTTTCATCTGACTGTCACTTGTTTTTACGTTGTGGCGTCAGTTTAGAAATTGGTTGTCTACATCATCACGGATTTAACTCGTGAAAATTTTCTTAGTATGATTTTCTACGACTTTAATTGTAATTTGACAGCTCAGCGGAGCTTCGCTCGGCTTCGAACTGCTTTTGGCGATGAAGCACCATACAAGACGACTATTTATAACTGGTTTGCAGAATTCATACGCGGTCGTGTGAATCTCGGTGACGAATTTCGTGATGGTCGACCGTCCACTGCTGTGAACAACAAAAACATCGATACTGTGCACCGTATGATCAAAACAGACAGGCATGTGAAATACCATGAGATTCGGGCATCTTTAGGCATAGGCATGAGTTAAATACAATCGATACTACACAAACATTTGCGTGTGAAAAAGCTGTGCTCTCGGTGGATCCCACGCAATTTGACTGAGGCTCAAAAAATGGATCGCGTCACTTAGTGCAATGCCATGCTTACCACATTCAACGAAGGGGCGTCAAATTTGGTGTGGGACATAGTAACAGGTGACGAAACATGGATTTGTAATTACGATCCCAAAACAAAGCAGCAATCGAGCGTGTGGGTCTTTCGAGATGAGCCGAAACCAACCAAAGTGGCGCGCGTGCAAAGTGCCTCTAAGCGGATGATTGCTTCTTTTTTTAATAAAACTGGACACGTAGCTACTGTTGCTTTGGAGAATCGTTGTACCGTGAATAGTGATGGGTACACGACCATTTGTTTGCCGGAAGTTATTGACAAACTCGGTAAAAATAAACGTAAACGCCGTATCATCTTGCACCCAGGTAAAGCCAGTTCTCACACGGCCAAACTGACAAATCATTTTTTGAAAGTGAACAACGTTGACCTTATGAGGAATCCCGCTTACATTTCCGACCTAGCACCTTGTAACTTTTATTTATTTCAAAAAATTAAGAACCAATTACGCGTTCAACGATTTTCATCACCTAAAGGGGCTGTTGAAGAGCATGAAAAATATGTTTCAGAGTTTGTCACGGCGGAGTGGCATAAATGTTTTCAAAATTAGTTCATTCGTATGAAAAAGTGCATTTACACTAACGGAGAATATTTTGAGAAACAATAAATTAATTTCTGACCATTTATAGTATTTTTTTCTTATTCGTTCCGGAAACTTATAGTGCGCCTCACATATTATCACTGACCTCACGCGTTCACAACTATTAACCGAACAATAAAATGATAATAAGCTTTCAATTATATCGCACACATACAGACACACACACACACACACACACACACACACACACACACACACACACAATATTGAAAAGTATCTGGTATCGATTGATCCGAGCTGCAAAACAATGGCTTCTATAATGCTGCAAGTACATACATGTATTGTTTGAGAAATTCCGATGATTTACAAACAAATAAACATGCGCGCATTTTGCTGTGATTGTTCAGTGACTATTTCACATCACCTACTCATCGTTACAGGCCCCAACGCGCACGACTCTCCTAAGCACGAAAACTCCAACGTTGAAGACAAAATAAAAACTCCACCATCGGTGACACAAAGGAAAAAACCGGTGGATACTTCGAAGTTCAACCAAACGGACAGAAAATCCAAAAATTGTGCTACCTTTTACTTCAGACACCACGATACTGACTCGGATAGGCAAATGATCGAAACCGATGAAAAGTCTCAAGAGGAATCCTCGGAGGAAGAATGGACATACGTCGGCGGTCCCAAGATTGCAAACGAAGACTCCACTGACATAATGACATCGTCTGTTGAAATTCAATGTGAGTTGCCCATTGACAGCAAGAAAGACAAACACGACAAGCCACCGTCTCCTAAACTGAAATTAGAATCGAGTACTCCAGATCTTTTACGCGTTGATCAGAATACGAGAAGCAAGGATATAGAAAAGTTAGTGATTCAGGCAGAAGAACTGGTACAAAAGCAAGCACAACAGCACATGGCAAAGAAAAAGAGTTCCAGAAATATCAAGCCGCTATTGTTCGAGGAAGATGGAAAGACTGCGAGCCGTGCCAAGATGTCGAGAATCAAAGAGTGGTTAAATCAGAGCAACGATGATAAAAACGACAGTAATCAGGTATGAATAATTTTAACATAATGGATCTTGTTCAAAAAGTGACTGTTCGTCACGCAGTACTGATTGATTTTGCATTGTTGCTTCGTAGATCGTTGTGCATAATCATTATTATTTCCCGTCTAGGGCACTGAAAGTTATGATGCTTCGGGTGAATATACGACAGAAAGCGAAGTGGACACCTCCTTAACATCTGAAGAACGAAACTTGCACTCGTCAATGGACATGAGTACCTCCACTTGTACCGTCACACCCACCCACCACGCTAAGGTAACATTATTAGGTATCAGTTTTGTCTACACAACAGGCTTCTATGTTTAACAACTACGTTTAACAAATTCTATGTCTAGCACTCGTTAGTGAAATAAATATATTTTACCAAACATTTCATTCATAAGTTATTAATATTAGGGGTTAAAGTATGAAATTGCCGTTTTATTGCAATAAGTTCTTTGAATTTTCATAGAATCTTCATGGTTTGAGGTTTTCGAATGAAACTTTTTTCAAATGGTTTCTGTGATTTTTTTTAAATTTGAAACATTTGAATATCGACTTTCAATTGTTTTTGTTATTCAATTTAGACAAGAAAGATGGATACTGCGAAAATTCGAGTGATTTTTGAATACGAGTTCCGACGCGGAACTAACGCGGCAGAAACAGCCCGCAATATCAATGCTGCGTTTGGAGAGGGGTCTACTAATGAACGCACCGTGCGATTTTGATTTAAACGCTTTCGTGATGGAAATTTCGACTTAAAGAACGAGCCACGAGGAAGACCGCCCACACAGGTGAATAACGATGAATTAAGAGAGATAGTGGAAGCCGATCCTAGTCAAACTACCCAGGAATTAGCGGCATGGTTTAACGTTACCTTACCCACAATATTGACTCACTTGCGTCAAATCAATAAAATAAAAAAATACGAAAAATGGGTGCCTCATGATTTGACTGATCTGCAGAAAGAAACGCGTGTTGAAACTTGTGTTGCCTTGTTGAACCGGTACAGAAATGAAGGAATATTGGATCGAATTATAACATGTAATGAAAAGTGGATTCTTTATGATAACCGGAAAAGAAAAATGCAATGGCTGACCCCAGGTCAAATGCCACAACAGTGTCCTAAAGCAAAACTTACCAATAAAAAGGTAATGGTAACTGTTTGGTGGTCTCAGCATGGTGTTAGTGATTTCTCCGATCTGGTCAAGCAATAACGGCAGATGTCTATTGTGCCGAACTCCGAACCATGTTGACAAAACTAGCAGTAAAACAGCCCCGACTCATGAATCGATCTTCACCATTATTGCTCCACGACAACGCGAGACCTCACACAGCACGAGAAACCATTTTGACCCTTCAGGAACTGCAGTTAGAAACCATTCGTCATCCTCCGTATTCACCAGACCTTGCTCCAACGGACTACCATTTTTTTCGTGATTTGGACAATTATCTACGTGACAAGAAGTTTTCTTCCCAGGAGGCAGTACAAAATGCTTTCACACAGTTTGTGCAGTCTAGATCGTCGGAGTTCTATCGCAAAGGCATTAATAACCTTCCCATTAGATGGCAGCAATGTATAGATAATAATGGCAACTATTTTGATTAAATAAATTTGTTAAAAATTTAAAAAATAAACAATTTAGGTTTTCAGTACAAATCGGCAATTTCATACTTTAACCCCTATTATTTTCTTTAACCTACATTTACTGAAAAGGACTATAGTCCATCTGTTTAGGTACTTAACTAAATGTAAACAATCTTGAGATGTCTATTTAATGAAATATACATTTATAAAATGATTTTCCCTTACCTTCAAATACAAAATACAAATACTTAGCTTCATATGAAATTGCATGCCTATTTTTATACCTATTGATTTGTAAAGCATGTGTTTCAATAAAAAGATGTATCAAGATTGTTTACACTTAGTTAAGTACCTAAACAAATGGGCTATAGTTTTCATTTCTTTAAAAAACTTGTGATATTTCTGCGGAGGAAACAAATTAGACGTCTTTGTGTTTTAACACTTCGGTTGAGGTGCACTGTCTAACTCTAACACAGGTGCAACTTCGCAAGAAACGAGCTGGCAACAGCGCGCGGCCGTGGTCCGTCTCCTGTCTGTCGCAGCTGAGTGGCGCAGGCACGTCTCTTGTGGCCACGCCCACGGCCAGTGACGTTGCCGCTATGTCGCATAACATGTCCATATCGGAGTCCGCTTTGAACACCCTGGCCTCACCACAAAGGGTGACGCCAGCCAACTCTAATTCCAAACTTAGAGGAAGTGCTACCACTGTGCAGGTATAGTGGCTGTATACGCCTCTTAACCATATAACTTTAAACTCTAACTCAAACGCTGAAGTTGTAACTGAAATGGTAAAGGCTCCACATTTTCTTCACTCAATCTAACGTTTCCCTCGGGGACGGGTTTTACCTATAAGTACTTCTTGTGCATTTGATGTTTTAATCTATAATATGTGATTGGTGAGGGTATAGATATATTGCATAAAAATTTGTTAATTTTATGACCTATGTGTAGCTGCATATATAAACTTGGATTTGCATAACAGGGGCACGTTTCAAGCACGAATACGATGACTGAAGCATGCACATCGTGCGTGGAAACGAACGACAAGCAGTGCTGGTTACGCCGGAAGCGCTTCAAGCTGCGTAGCCATAATACATCGGTGGGGCGTCGCGAACGTTTGGTCAAGTCGTTCTCGTTCTGCGGCCGCCTCAGTCCCGAAATTGAAGATAAAAACGAGAGAAGTGCTGCCAGTGACCCTGCCACCAGTAGAAAAAATAGGTCGGTTATTCTATTAGATCGTTTGGTACTGACTAAATATCCAAAACCCACTTTGTTTATAACATAACTTCATTTATTGACATAATATAACTTGACCATATGATCGTGGTTATTTTATAATCACAAGAAACATTATTACGCATAAGAAATACTGTCGCGTAATACCATAACAAATACGATTAGTTACACGAAGTTACTCTTATTTTGGAATCAACAGTATAAATTGCATTATCAGGTTCGACACAACATCTACGTCGGGCAATGACAGTGACGAGGAGCTCATGAAACAATCGCTGGCTACGATCGCAAATCTCCGTAAAAGTATCGAAAAAACCCACATTTCTACCAGAGAACCAGACAGTGCCATCCCCGAACAAAATGAACAGGAGACTGTAGCACCGAGCTTCAAACTCGGGCCGGCGGGTGGACAAGTACGACCTCGGGTAGGGAGGAGCACGGAGAGGGAGAGAACATTCCTCGCTCTTAGCTTAGGAGATCCTAACCGACTATGGGACTTAAGCATAGATAAGGATTCCGACATTGACAAGAGTGTAACCGCCGGTACAGAAGAGCACAGCTCATTTTCGGAACAAGCGTGGGACCCTTATCAGGTATGCGTTTGATTTCTATGAGACTAATAAATAGCAAGCGAATGAATTTCTTACCGTCAATGGTGCTTTCGTGAACTAATGTATTGTTATTCACTTGTCTACAGGAGAAATACAACTCGGAGCCGTATTCCGAAGCCCCGGATTCGGATGCAGCGCGCCGCCTGCTGGAGTTCGGCGACGACTACCGCACGTACCTCGACTCGCAGTCCGACTGCTGTTCGAGTTTGTCCGCTCAGCCTGAGAACGAGAATAGCCCTAGCGGAACGCGACGCCGGCGACAGCCGTCCGAACTATCGCGAGAGAGAAGTCTGCCCCGCCACAAACGCCCTACAAGGACGTCCCCCGTTGAAACGCCGTCTCGAAAGCCTAAAAAATCAATGTCTAGCGCTGAGCGCAAAAAATCTCTGCTTGATAGCCTAGAGAGATCTAGAAACAATACTAGTATCGAGAGCAACGACGGCGTACGTCGGCGCAAAGCATCCGAAAATGAGCGAAAGAACAAGCGCTCGCCAGAATTCGACTTACTGAACATTCAAGCTTTGAGCCGGAGACGTCACAGCTCCAATTTGACCAGTGACGAAGTGAATAGTTCATTAGAGTATACAGAGGTGAACAATAGACCTGACATTCTAGATTCATTGAACAGACGTCGAAGAAACGCTGAGAAAGACGGGGAGTCTGAACTCCAAAAGATCGCATTGTCTGAATTGCGTCGACGATCGACAGAGAGTGCCGATTCAGAAGGCGAGTCTTCAAGCCCCAAGAAGCACAGTCGACGGAATTGGGGAGACTCGGACTCTGAGTCGGAGGAAGTAAGGTCACTCATCAGGCGCTCGAGCTCACAATTGGAAGCAGCGGAGGCCCTCATGGCCCGGCAAGATGCGTCCCCGGATTTACTCCACGCTTTCGATTACGTAAGGACTTTCGATACTGATTTCAGTAGTAGCTATTCGGAGGCGGAGGACAACAGCCCGCTGTGCGCGGCTACACGGCGCCCTGCATGCTTGCGAGCCAAAACTTGTCTAGCAGTAGCCGCCTTCTCAATCCTAATAATAATATTCATACATTTACAATGACATTTGGCTTGGGCTTATGTGATATTTATACTTATTTATGTAAGTATTCGTATTAAGTACGCTGCGATTGTCAGATTTCGAGTCCCGAATAATTTTTCTGATTAGCAATTATTGAAATGGCACTAATTTGACAATTCGGATTAAAATAATTCGGTGATGCGAATTCGTATATTTGAACGGTGATTCATGTACAAATTGCAAGTATATATAAAGACTACAAAATCTGATGAACGGAGTATAAATTAATCCCTCAAACACTACTAACTTATTAATTTATTATTACCGTAATCATGCCAGTTTCACTTTAATGGTTTATGGATCCTTAAAACAAATTAATAGTAAAATACTACATATTTAATAATCAATTTAATGTTGTTGTTAAGTGAACCTGTCGTGTTCGACACCCTATTTCGTTTTTGACACATTTTGTCTTACATATTTATGTTCCATTCTTTATAGTTTACTTTTGTTTATCACTAACAGTTTTTCGTTTTGTGTGATCGTCATATTTGTACTAACTACTTTATATTTTTCCTTTTTTAAATCATCCTCGTCTATCGGTGGTGATAACTTGGTGCTAGATCAAGGGTAACTTGTAGGCTCATACTTTCGAAGTAATAATAAGATGGCGCGGTGCTATATAGTAAATGAGAGATCTTTTGTACCTATACTTAGAGTTACCACTACCAGTGTGCATATTTTAAGAGACGTCTCGGTATAATCAACTGAAACGTCTAACGGTACTAGGTCCATACTAGCGGAATAGTTTTAATATCTCTCAAAATAGGATCTTGTCATCAAGTGATATCGATTTATGTTTTTATTAGTACGTACATTTACTATCGAGTTCTTAGGTTTTCGCGATTGTTACACATAGGAAATGAAACTATTTTTCCGGATTTAAATCGCGTATATTTGTTTTTCAAACAAACCGACGTTTCACCTAATTTTTTAAACTTAATAAAAATTCATTCAATAAAATAATTTGTAAAACTTAATGTAGCGTAAATTGGAATGTTTTCTTTGTAAAATTAAAAATAGGGTATTTAATTAATAACTATTGTAACTATAGTGAAAAATTAGGGTGATTTGCATTAATATTAGACATAACTGGTTGAAGACTGTACCACCTCAGTCAACCGTGACCATGGGACCTGTAAAGGGCCCGAAACGTCGGTTTATTTGAAAAAACAAATATACGCGATTTAAATCCGGAAAAATAGTTTCATTTCCTATAGGTACATTTACTGACAACCTTTATATTTTTGTTGTTATCAATATTGCATAACGGTTACCTACATATCTAATTGAATTGGGGTTGTGACTGAACTCTTTCAAATTCTCACTATAGTTTACATTTATATAATACTTATTTTAGGCTTTATGTTGAATAGGGCCAGGTTGTTAATTGATAGCCACGTCTATACAAAAGTGTTTAAAAAAATAAAGTGATTGTTGTGTAATTTTGTCAAAGAATAAATGCATTAATTGAAAAACTAAATATGGAGTTTCAGTCAATTAACACCCTTCTCTATCAACAACTACTTATGCGATGTTAAGTTCTTTACGCATTATGTACCTTCTCGTTTTTATTTACGTATTTTTATTATTATCTAAATTTATCTGTTTTGGGTCTTTGGTTTTTCTGTTTGTTCTTTATTGTATCTAGAGACGTTATAAATTTGTCTTTTTAAAAGAAAAATTCTTATTATAGGAATTAAATTTTCTTGAATTAAAAAATTCTATATTTTATACATATCTATACGAAATTGTACATGATTTAACCAAAGAGTGATGCCGCATGAAGTTCGCTAGAAAGCTATGAAATGCATGTGCACTGAGTTTAGTGATACCATTTAAGACTAGTGTTTAGTGCTGTGTCATGGTGTGCTATTGAAAGAAAATAGAAACTAGTAAAGGACATTATAAGTGAGTCACTTGGAAAAGTTTAACTTTCACAAAAATTGGCTGTTATTTTATGCAATGTTTGCCAATCTAGCACAGCTTCTTAAGCTTTGTTTTACACAGAGAGGTTATATTTGGAACTACGCAGTCGAATTTTCCAATATTTTTTTTCGGTACACAGACGGAGATAATAACACGATGCCGCGAAAACGTCAATCTTCTGGACGCTGCGTTAGCTGGAGGCACTTTGTCGCCTGGCTTGCAACGGGACATCAAAGGTAATAATTAATTTAATAAATCTGGAAACTTACTTCGCAATAGCTAGATTTATAATTTTTTTACCGTCGAATACGATTAAGGTCACAGTAAGCATTTCAAAGTGTCTTGTTTCTTGCGAAAATACTACAATACGGTGGTTGTCAACCGCAGTTTCTTTGCTCGGGTTGCAACCGGTTTTCGCACGAAGACATTGTATAATCTCGGTCGCGATGAAGGCTGATGCTATATTTGTAGTGAGCTACATCGACGTCAACAGAGCAACACGGTGTAACCGATAAATTGAAAATCATCTACAGGATTTAAAGTTTTATTAAAATATATGACATCATAAATAAAAAAGTATTCAGCCGGGACCAATGATCTTTTTTGAGGATATTTATGACACCGCTATGGAGGGGAGTTAATTAACAGGACATGAACTTCAATCCGTCATATCACGTTCTTTTGATGCCATAATTTTAGCAATGATGGAACGACAGCTCCGAGCTTAGTGACGCCATATCTTCCCAGTTTGGATATTGGAGTAGGGTTCTGATTCACGTTGCATTTCAATTTCATTTGTGTTTTTGCTTTGAAATTATAATTGAAATCCTGTACGATACGGTAGTTTCTAGAGGTGTCACTGCGTACGGACGTGATATAAATATTTTAAATACATAATGATCAGCTTGGCTCGACCTTCGATAATATATATGTTTTTTTAGATTTTTTTTTTGTTGTGTTGTGTCAATAAGATTAAAATAGTGTAAAGAAAGTACGGCAACCCTAAGCGCGCTCCCGGAAACGGCGACACGGCGGGCGATCGCACACCCATTCGCTCATCTGCGTCTATTTCTGCCTACGAAAGCGGAACGGTTTCGCTAACCCGAAAGTGTGGACAAGCTACTTTTACCTTTTTATATTCAACTCACAATGGAATGATTTAAAACGTTTTTTAATACATTTACTGTTAAGTTAGGAAACGTTATAACGAGATAAAAAAGTAAAACATTATTTTATAAAACTAAAGAAAATATTCTGATTTTTGTAGTCGTGAAACATTAGTTCTTTTTGCTTTCGCATTCTGTTTTGCTAATATGTACAGATATCGGCATAAATAAGTACGAATATGAATAAGAACATGATTCTCTGCAAAGATTTTCCTACGCTCAATTACAGAAATGAAATAGTTGCGAAGCGTTAAACACGTCAATAACGCGACAATTGTATCTAATTTTGTTTGTTACTTGATAAGTACATAGTTTTGACTCCGATGACATCATGTCTTGAGATGAAAAAACGGAAAATAAACACCGCTATGCACTAAACAGGTACCTAATAAATATTTCGTGTCAGTATAATTTTGATGTCCAGAAGAATTAGTCGCATTTCACAATGGTTATGACTAGCAGGGTTTTCATTCTTGTTCGTGAAGTAAATAAGCCTTTGTATTCACGAAAACGTAAGTAGAGAATTTGCATTTTATTTATAATTTGTTTATGGTTTTCTTACGCACGATACTCACACACACTCAGTTGATTGAAACAGTTGTGTATAGTTATATGAACAAATATTTTTATAAAATTAATTGTTCTTGGTGGATAGCTATGTAATGTACAAATTACTCCGACGACAACGCGGCATCTTTCTTTGCCTTTAAATGTTCTTACTTACGTAATACCAGTATTTACATCGAAATACATAGTACTGTGCATGCCTGGACATAACTAAATTCAAAATTGTCTTTTGTAGAGAATATAAATTTAAACCTTTTCAAACGTTTAATTTATAAAATACAACTTGAATTTCAACAAACGTCTCTGGTTATTATTTGGTAATAATTTTGCTAAATGTAACGTACTACTGCACGGAATTGTACTTATAATAAGCAAAAATTTCTAAGGTTTATCAGCAGCGCAGTAAACATAAATACGTAATGCAAATGGCCGCAGTGCATTCTTCGGCATTGTAGTGTGCGCAAACGCAACTCGCGTCGCCTATTTGCACTTGCGCCAACTGTCGCAAGGCCATGGAAAAGGTTATCTAAAACACATTGCTTCTATCTGGGGCCGTTGATAATACTCAATATGACTCCACGTACTTTTCTTGGTTACTTATTGGTTTCGAAACGAAATCATCAAGAATGTGTTTGTGACATGTACACTGGCGTGTTACTGTATACGTAACATATTGTGTACGTAGTATAGCGCTTTGTCAGTCAAAACCTTTGATAAACTCGCGACAGCCAATCAGGACATCAATTTATTGGCTATTTACAATTGTCTAAAATTGCTTGCAGATCCCCCGTTTATAGAGTTCCTTAGTTACGTTGAAGGAGATTAAATTCGAAAGTAAGTGCTTTATTCTTTTCTCATTTTAATAATTGCCCTAAATGCAGTCCTAACGTACATTCTCGACATTTAAAAAATCAAAGTCATTGCTATGACGACTACATTCGAAACACCAACGCAAAATAACACTTACTGATTTCTATTATGAGCTCTAACTGACATTACGTAATTAATTAGTTGACATTTCCTAAAATTTGGTTTTATCTTAGACTATGGAAACCAATTTTTTTCCAACTTCTAAGGATTTTATTGAATTTACATATAAAGAGAATATGAAACAAGACAACTTCTTTGGACATAAATAATAAGTTATGACAATTTATTATGATGTGTTCTCCTTAGACAATGAATTACGAAAGATTCATTTAGAGACTAGACGTCTATAAATAATCCGACTTATTATTCATTCATGTTGAAGGTGATATCATTAAATTTCGTATAGGTATGTTGTTTAATGGGTGCCTCAAAGCAGCGCTTTAAGAATCAGTCGCAATACGTCGTTTGATGAGCCTGATATAGATTAACCGCTTGAAGCGCTTTTGTTCATATTGGCGAGTAGGTAGAGACTGTGGGACTGTTGAACACACGGTAGACCAGTTGTACGCAGCGCGGGCGACAGACGCGCCTGTCGTTGTACATTTTATGTCGTGAGTGATCGGTGTTTACGGCGGGAATTGATTTAATTCACGTATTTCATATCAGTGCTATGTTCTGTTACAACTGAGAGATTCTTTTTTATGTTAGAGCGTTGTTTTTGTTTATCGCAAAATCTAGAACCATTTAGAAAAGTAAATAAGTTTTTTGTATAAATTCTACTTAAACCATGTGAGAAATTGGATGCGCACGAGTAGTTTCACACTTTCGCTGCGGTTAATGTGGGTTGCATTTTAAATGTAAGATGCAGACGTGTTCCAAATTGTAACAATAATGCTAGATTTACTCGATATTGTTCGAAGATCGAACGTTACTTTTTTTTAATACTTGTTCATATGACCTTCACTAACAAGTCTAGACTGTTTATCATACGGTGGCTGCCAGCTGCGAGCACGAATCTCAAAACACAATATCATCTAACTATTAAAATAATAAATATAAATAACTCGAGCATAATTGTAAGTAAATTTTTTGCATTGCGATTTAGAGTTCGACTACGGCCTAAACTTCTCTTTAAAGAAGACCTTGACCAACAGTTTATTGTTGTCATGTAGCCTTACAGACTAGAATTTTCTAAATTGGTAATAAGTATAACTTTTTAAATCATGATTTCCAAATTGACGTAATAACAAAATTATTTTTTTTCGCATTCTACCTCCAATTACTTGTTCGTCCCGGCACTTGATGTCACAAAAAAAAATCGAAAACAATCTAATGTACTCACAAGTTCTGTTAAGAGCTACCCAATTTTATTAAAGTTTTGCCCGATAGTTTGAAATAGGTCATTATAATGTTCTATTTACATGATTTTTTGTAAAACGAATGTTTCATTTAAGTAAAACAAATAAATGGTTAATGGATTTACGTAAAGCAAACCTTCAGAAAAACGAACACACTAAGTAAATTGCAATGACGTTATTCCCAAAATAAAGTACAGTGTAACATAGTCAATTTTATTCAATATTATATAATTTTAGTCAATTTGCCACTATTAGAAAAAGATAACTTGTCGCAAGTTATCTTTTTCTAATAGTGGCAAATTATAGTGTTATTACTATGCTAAGTGCGGGACAAACATATCATGCGCCTGGTGGTAAGCGACACGCCTCGCCTGTCCATAACAAATAATAAACACATGGAGGGCGCTGTCACCGCGCTTGCCACCGTGAAACATAAGTTGACATGTCCCGTGTGTCTGTAATTTCATCAACTCCCTTACCCTAAACCAGAACGCAGTAATGCTCACATTACTGCTTGGCAGCAGAAATAGGTAAGTAGGCAGTACCTGTATGAACTCTTTTACAAGGAGCTCTTCTGCGACGAATGGATCCTAGTTTGAAGTAGTACTTTACCGAAGAATACAAATAATTTCCTAGTTTAGTACAATTATAGTTTCGTAATGTTAGATGCAGTTGCGTAACAAGTTTCTCTTTCAAAATTGCTTGAAGGTCTATACATAGGCTTTAACAAAATACCGCCGTTCGGTCAACTACACGTAAATTACAGTTTACTTGAAATTGTCCCTAACAGCACAAGAAAACAGTTCAATTTTTATTGCCAAGTAGTTTATCTAGCTAAGCGTTAAGAATTTCTCTGTGAAAGTTTTTAATTTTGCGGTGAAACCGCTTATTATGGCAATTTTCTTAACCATATCGTTTGAAGAAAATTGTATTGGCGTTCGACTAGTTCGCTTAAAAATTATAAAGGCATAGGTCCTGTTATAAAACTCCGTAATATATTCTTACAAATTGGAGTAGGCTACTCACTAATGAGGACCTTGGTTGAAGGATATTTCTATGGAATCTAGTAAATTCTCAATCCTCTAGTAAATATGCTGGTTAAGTATTGGCTTACCATCAACGACTTTGAAACGCCGCTGCCGTGTGAACTTATTCCGTGGTCACGTATAACAGGCGCTCCTTTGTGTTAAAGATGAGACACTGCTACACACCTTATAAGGTGTGGTGTTGTGGGTAGTTAGCATTTATTTATCGTACAGATTTTGGATCGTCATG